CTTCGTCGTCTTCATTGAAGGAGCCAAAAAATTCGACTTCGAAACTATGGGAGGATGCACCAGAGAGGTTCCCGAGGTCCTCAACAGCCGCATCAGCTTCGGGAGTGAAAGCTATGACAGTGGGAGTTCCCGCTGAAGGGCCCTACGGTGACGAAGATGGTGTTGGGAGGTGGTTGCCCATGGAGCTCGTGAAGGAGACGTGGGAGTGGCACCACATGCGACTACAAGAACAATTGTCCAACTTGGTGGATGGGGTTCCTCGTAATGCTTCACAAGGGGCTCAACAGGGACAAGAGGTGGAGTTGTTTGTGGGATGGCGGGATGAGCTGGAGGACAACTTGATCCAATTGGGTAGAGTGGAAAGGGACACTCGTATCCATCTTAGCAGGCTCCAAGTTCAGGAATCTGATGTCCTGCAAACAGTCACGGTGCCTCTTCATGAAGTTCGAGCGCATCCTCAAGATTGGATTCCAACTTTTCAATATGAATACGATGTCCTCGTGAAAGACACGCAGGCAATACATCCTGTACCTCGTGAAAGCCTTCCTCCTCATGCCGAATTAGTACCTGGCAAAATGGTGTGCGTGCGGCGTGCGCAAGGGAGGAAGTGGCGCGCATCGCGCGCGGGCTGTCATATGCGGAAACATGACATCACCAACGGCAGACCCTGCACCTGGTCCAGCAGGAAGTTACGCCAGCGGAGCGGACGGCACTTTGATCAGATGCGCAGTGCGTCGGGCTGCTCATGAAGGATGGATGATGTTGGCGCTTGATGTCAAAAGTGCCTTCTTACAGACGCCAAGGCCTACCGCTCCTGGCGCTGCTCCAGTGGCGGTGGTTCCGCCCAAAATCATGTCGCAGTTGGGCGTCTGCCCGGAAAACAAAGTGTGGATAGTCCACAAAGCACTTTACGGGTTCCAGACGTCACCAAGCTTCTGGGCACTACACCGGGACGCCATGTTCAACAAGTTTGACTGGATTGCGGAGGGGGTGAAATACAAGCTTCAACCCACAAAAGAACGAAACCTATGGCGGGTCCTACAGGAAGGGTGTGATGCTCCGGTTGGTCTGATGCTGGTCTATGTAGACGACCTATTGGTGATGGGCACAAAAGTTGTTTACGATGGGTTGGTGGCTCGCATACAAGAGGAGTGGAAGATTTCGAAGCCGGAGTTGGTGAATTCTGAAGAATGGGTGCGTTTTTGTGGCTTCGAAATGAAGTATCAGGGCGAGGAACTCTTGGTGGGACAACCCTCATACCTACAAGATCTACTTCGTCGCCGGAAGATCACAAACAAAAGATCTACGCCGCTGCCAAAGGAACATGCTAGCCTTGTGGAGGAAGAGGAGGACGTCAAAATTGAGGAGGTTCGCCAGGCTCAGGCCATTGCTGGAGAGATTTTGTGGGTTGCGGTGCGGAGTCGACCGGATCTGGCATTCGCTATTGGGGCACTGGGGAGGGCAGTGACGAAAAGGCCACGTTGGGCTTTGCAGACAGGCTACTATATCTTGGAGTACCTGCACGCCACTGACGAGTGCTTCTTGGCCTATGGAAAATGCAAAGAGTAGGACCCGACCAAGCCTTGGCTCGAGAACGCAACATAAACCTGGTGGAGATCTACTGCGACGTATCTTACGCCCCACAAGGGGAAAAAAGTGTTCAAGGCATTATAGCCATGGTTGGTGGTGGAGTGGTTCAATGGGAATCTTCAAGGCAAAGCTGTATGGCATTGTCGACGGCGGAAGCCGAGTTGTTGGGCTACATCGAATCGTCCGTGATGGGTGACAGCTTGCAGGCCTTGATGACTGAGGTGTTGGGGGTGGAGGAGCCGCCGGCAGTGGTCACCTATGGGGATAGCCAGGCAGCAATCGCCATCATCCGACAACCTGATGGTCCGGGGCGAACTCGCCATCTGCGATTGCGTTCCCACGCCTTGAGGGAAAGATGGGAACTTGGCAGATCTACCACTTGGAGGGGACGAAGTTGATTACGGACTTCCTCACTAAGGCCATTGCCGTGAAGACAGCATGGCAACGCTTCCGGAAGTTCATTCGCATGGCGGATCTGGCGGAGAAGGACATCGCCCAGGAGGCGGAGGTTCCGGAGGGCGAGAATGATGGTGGAGTGCGATTGGCTAAGGTCGCTCTATGCCTAGCCAGCTGCGCCGACTTCTCTGGGTGGCCGAGTCAAATCGTCAAGGTGGCGGTGGTGGCTTCTCTGAGCGTGGCTTTAGCAGCTGAAGCGATTAGGGTTTTTGGTAAGAAGAGGGTCAACGCCGGGGATTCAAAACCACGTGTTTTCCAGAATCAGTACAACCATAGCAATTCCGGGGGAGAATCCCTAGTGGCGACCCGACCCAAGTTGTGTACCCTGCGAGCGGGGCTTGCAAGGGAACAAAAAGACCAAGAAAGGTCACAACAAAAAGAAAAAGAAAAAGAATAAAGTATAAGAAAAGAACAAGAGGCCAGAAATGAAGAGGCGTCGGGCCGCACGCCAGGATCGGAGACTTCAATGTCTCAAAAGTGGGAAGACCCTAACAGTAGCCTAGAGGCTCCCAATATCGTCGAATTCGAAGCCGCGAGCGCTCGCCATGGCATTTGGGGAAAGCTGCAGCTGCGCTTTGGCCGGGCTAGCGAGGTTGAGGAGTCCAGCTACCCGGGTGGGGCTGCATCGTCTTCTTCGTCGACAACGACTGGACAGCAAAGGGGATCGAAAACGGTCGGGAAGAAAACCCGCCCGTGAAGTCTCCACCTGTGCTGCCGAAGTATGTGCAAGGGGTGTCTGGTCCATTGCCGAAACCTCCACCTGTGCTGCCGAAGTATGTGCAACATGTCAATGAAACCATCGAGGGCTTGAAGTCCGGGTATTATCCACGGAAAAGCCCGCCACCAGGGCCGATGGGCGACTCTGGGGGCAAAGCAGCGGCGCGGGGGGCAGCGGCTATGGGGATTACATCTAAAGGTTCGTCTTCGTGCTCAGACCAGGAGGTGTCCAAGCGACCTGCTCGGCGTGGAAAGAAGAATATCCTCCTTGGGTGGTGGCACCAAAGCCTGGACCTCTTCCGCATCCATCAGAAGGGCCTCAAGATGACCCACACCGAGCTTATCCTTCACCATGGGATCGACCGCATCGGCTGGTTCCACCTGTGGGAGACGAGGGAGACACCTTGGTGATTCATCCATCGCTTTGATGGAATCAGGAGCTCTTCGACAAGGTGCAGCGACTGGTGGATGAAGAAGCCACGAAGTTTCGACCAGTTCCAAGGACGGACGCTTGGGATTATCTTCGTCTGCCGCTGGAAACGTGGATGGTCCGACGGCACAATTTAAGGGTACAGAGATTTCACCCGGAGCATCGATCAACTCCCGAAGACATGAGGGATCTCGAGTACCTCAGGGTGACGGTGGCTTGGCTGCTCAACCAGAACACCATGAAGTTTTCTAAGCGGCTGATCTATGTAGATGCCGAATGGCACAAGGATGGTTTGCCGAATCTACACGGCAAATGGTATGGATTCAGCTTCTTTTTGGTCAAAGACCGATTGACAGTTGCGAACTAGTCGCAAGGGGGAGCGTGAGTCTGCAAGAGCACATGGACCACGTAAGACCCACAACCAATTTGGCGAAAAAACCGCCACAACGTTTGACTCAAGAAAAGGACCGCACACACATCCGTGACGCTACTCCCATGATATGAATTGTACTTAATTAAATTTGCAATTGTATTAATAATATTAATTATCGTTGTATATTTAATAGAATATATCGATAAAAAGAATATATATATTAAATAAATATATATATATATATCGAAAATATTAAATTTCTCTAAATAAATTATATTATCTAATTTAAATAGAATTATAAATATATATATATGGTGATTGAGATTAATTAAAATTCCTTCTTGTTGGAAAATTATTATTCGAAAAAAAAATAATAAATAACTTCGCGAATTATTTGTGTTTTCCATGATCAATTTTCGCGGGGATATATCCTTTAGAGATCTTCTTAGATTAATGATTCTATAAATATAATAATCTAAATATTTCCATCAAATACCATTTTGGAATTATAGACGAGATTGAGCTATCACAAAATAGATTGGCCAAAATTCTCAATTACGTGGAAGATAAGCTGGAAGAACTATGGTTGTTGTATTCATGTCTTGGTAGGTCTGTTGTTGCTTGATTTAGGTAAGAATCCATAGAATAAATGCAAATATCAACCTATATGTTCGCGGAATTATCGGGAATCTTTCGTTAAGGCGTAAAATACAACAATCAATAGCAATAAAAAGAAAATAAAGAAGAATAATAAGAAACAACAATGGTATTAAATAACAATAATAATAATAATCATGGCTATAATTATGGTGATAAAAATAACAATAATATTATATTAATAATTCAAAACACAACAATTAATAATAATAATAATTAATATTAATATAGTAATTCATTTAATATTAATATAAATAATTAATTATACTAATATTATTTCTTTATATATATAATATATAATATAACCAAATTTTTCGTCAAATATAAAAAACCCAAATAATTTAAAAAGAATCCAATCAATTAAAATATTATCAATAATATAAGCCTTACGTCGACCTTCGATCGAAAATTATATAAAATATATTAATATATTTCAAAAATATATGTCGTTATATAATTCTAAATATAATTAATTCAATAGAAAAGAAATATTGTGGGAATAACAATAATATAAATATATCTTTCCATTCCCTTATAAAAAAATATATGAAAGATATATATAAATTAAATTCATAATTAATTATTATTGAATTCATTATAATATATTGATTCTATTCAATTCCTTCATCCTGCCTAAATATTATATTTCCAATTGATAGATATTTTGTGTTAGGCAGCGAAAAGGGGAGGTGTAACAATTAATCCAGAAAAAAACGTTTCTTGTTGGTTTCTTTAGTAGTAGTAGTTGTTGTTGTTGTTGTCGTGATTGTCCTTGTGATCGTTGCGTGAGCTTTCTCCATACACAACGGGTTGCTCACGGGGCTTCTCATCCCATCTTCCCTTGCATGTCAGCAGTTGTCGTTGCATGCTGCTCATACTTCCTGAATGTGTTTGTGGCCTCTTGACACTTAGACTTGGCCTGAGAGCTTTACTCGTGCCAGCTGGGTCGTGGCTCGTATCCTCATACGATCTATCCTCATACGATCTATGCCATATGCTCAATTGAAATCTCTTGAACACAAGAAAAGAGATGATTGTGAGTGAGCCATGAACTCATGAGAGTGGGATCACACTGCGCCTGCCCTGTGCAAGCGACATCAAGCGACTATATAACCCTACAAAACCACGCTACAGGCCACCATCCCACATGTTAAGCCGTTGGAGCCTGCAGCTGCTCCGGATGAGGATCCAGGCAAACTTCTTGCTAGCATGTACACCACATGGCTGCCCATGGCTCAGTTGAGGTGCCATAAAGGGACCTAAACCAAATGCAGGCAGCATTCTTACTCTCCGGTTCCGACCGAGCACAAAAAAACCTGGTGCACACGTCAGTGAATCAAGTGCGAGCCCTACAGCGCCCCAGAAATGCCAGACATGCATCTAGACATGCTCCTCCTCCTCCAAGGATGCACATGAACCTCAACAGCCGAATTTCGGAGAATCAGTGCTCCTCCCATTGCTTCGAAGCCGCACCGGCTTCCAACCTGCCAGCATTGCCTGCCAGCCAGGCATCAGTTCAGATGTCCAACATCTCTGTCATCCAGGACATGCCACTTGCAACCTTTTTGTGATTCAGTGCCTGACAAGAAAACGCCGCAGCAAGGTATATAATATAATGTGATCAGGTTCAACAGCTCTAACCGGTGAATGTCCAAAGCAAGGCTCTATGAGGAACCAGGAACGATCCTCTCTTGGTTGGGCAGTCTGAGCGGGCTACATCTACTGTACCCCCAAAGATACGCTCAAAACCCGACCTCGTGCTTGATAACTCGATTTGCATGGTGTTGGGTCAACTTGGACTTTGTGGCACCATGTGGGGGGTGCTTCAATGTGAAACATTCAGCCTTGCTGATTTGGGAATGTCATCAGTCCTCTTCGAAGGTTGCTGCATGAGGCGACTAGAGGGCTTTGTGTGACAGAGTCTGCACATCGAACCCCACTTTGTGTCGAAAATCTCTCAGAGGGGTTTGCAGTCATTGAAAGTCCTTGGGTCTCTGAGCGGTTACTGCATCGGTTTCCGAGGACGCCCAGGGCGCTTTGGTGAACTTGTAGTCGTGGTTTTCTTGTGCTGTGACATCACGACAACCACTCAAAGTATGTCAAAGTGACACTGCTTGTCACTAAAAGGTCTCCTGCATTGCAACTATGACCACGAAATGGCCCAAAGAGTGCACCTGCTTGGCACAATTCAAAAAAACCATAAAAGCACGTGTACCCTTGAAAGTGATGAGGAAAGCTGTTTCTGCTTTCAGTTGTGTGTAAATTGCTTGGCATCTATGCCTTTTGTGCTGTGCTGTTGTCCCTTGTTATATAATCATTAATCTTTCGCAAGTGTTCAGGGCCGAAAGGCTAGACACGACCACTTTTCATATGATGGATTGTCTGGTTTCGAATTTGCCCGGCCCCGGGTTCTGCTTGGCAGTCTCCGACATCATGCGCAGAATGGGCTCCACCCTCCGATTGGAACGAGGCATTCTGGCACAAAGGGCTGCATTTTGAAGCATCAGCAAGCGATCATCGTGGCCGTCTTGCCGTTCGGCCTCGTAGGGTTCGACATCGTGTGGCCCGTGTGGCTGTGGGGTATCAAAAACCACGGAGGCAACGAAAAGACATCGGGTCTGGTACAACCTGTGCTGCTTAGTTGAGGCATGCGTAGTGACAAACAAACTATAGTTCATTCTCAAGTTCTTTGGAGTTCAAATGCATTTTGTAGACTTGAACTGGTTCCAGTTGGGTAGTAGGGGATGCTCCAACATCGGGATGAGCATTTCCTGACTTCTAGCAATCAAGCTTGTGACTCTGACGTAGCAAGACCTGGAAAACACGGAGACGGACTTCTGCGAGTTGGAAATCCAAATGTTCAAAACACATAGGATCAAATCACGGACAGGAGACGTCCCGCGCCAAGGAGAGGTATGCATCACAAGCTTCTGCCCAGCGACCATTGTGCTGGAGATATCTGCAATGAAGCTCCGGATGATCTTTGGCATGAACCAACAAGAAGTTCTTCAAATACGGTGATTTGTACTGGTAAGGAGGCAGCCCACACTGCATCATCCACTTTAGAACGCAGAAATGGAAGAGCTCATCAGCTTGGTAGCGGTGCCCTTCCAAGCAATGCCTCAGCAGCCCATCCAGAATGGCCATGGCATCCGCGTCCGACAAGTGGGAAGGAAGTAGCTCAGGCAACTCCATCCTCCTCTCTGTGGGCGCCAAACTTTGCAAAATCGAGCCAGACCGCTGTCGTGCGAAGGAGCACACATCCTCTAGCAGGCCCAGCACCACTTGATAACATTCCAGGCGCGCATAGTGCAACTGCTGAAGACGCGGATTCGATGGATCTTGAGGCCTCAACGCCTCATCCTTGGGATCTCGTGCTCGGGCCACACTGGAGCATAGTGCGATCAATCCCTGCGGAGCGGTAGGGCGCGAAGTTCGCGGGGCCGGCGGCTCTTTTGGAGGGGGACATCGGTTTTGGGCCAAAACCTCACAAACCATGGGAGGTTGACATCCGTGGAATCTGTTCATTTGAGGTCAAACCGTTCGGCGACGCGAGGGACCAAGGCTGACTTCATGTGACTTCACCGGTGCCCGGCATGCAAAGGTACCCTTCAATGCTTCAAAAAGGCAAACCGAGGAGACGACAAGTCACGTTTCCCATTCTCAAGTCATCGAACTCAAGGAATACACCGTGTACCTGTGCTATGACATCAGTGTACAAGGCAGCCAACAGTTAAGAAGTGCCACTACTCACTACTCAAGTGTCCCAGGTTGCAGCACCCGGCACCCGGTGCCTTGCAGGCACCCACCGCACGAAGTCGAGCTGCGGCATCCATCAAGTTGACTTGTGCAGCATTCCTCTCCAAGGTCTCCAAGGCTCGATGCGTCAAGTGGCTCAACCTTGCCAGCTCCAAGGTGCTTTGTGTCGCAGCTTGCAAACTGGACTCCACCAGTTTGAGGATCTCATAGGCCTCTTGCACCTCCAAATCCGCTTGGTGAAAAAGGCTTGGGCAGTTGGACAAATCACGACAGGCCACAATCCCAGCTTGCATGAGCTGCTGCAGCACCTTCCGCGCTTCAGCCTGGCACACCAAGTCCCGAAAGGTGAGCTCCGAGAAGCGCAACAAGGTCTCAGCTGAGCAAGAGCCAGAGGCCATGGCTGCGGTACAGTTGGACATCAACTCGAGAAAGTCCAAGGCCTCCATGGAAGCGACCAAGATCTGCATGGCCCCATTGGCCGCATCCACCTCCTCGCTTCCACCTCCTCCGTTGACAGGGAGAAGACATCCCTCTCGGCAAAGGCGCGGCAAGCATCGATCCAGAGCGCTTTTGAGGAGCAGCAACTGCGAGCGCAAGAAGGCGCGCTGCGACTGGGAAAAAGCACATTGCCACTGAGCTCCCTTTGCCACGGGCGGAGGGTCTGGTGGTGGTGGCCACCATTCATCCCGGCGCCGCTTCTTCTCGGAAACTGGGGGCCAAGCCACCAGCATCACCTGTGAAAGCCACAAGGGCCTCAGGAGCCGACTGAGATAGAGGTATAAACCTCGCATCCGGGCAGAGAGGCGAGCAGCACTCTGGAACATCACAGAATAGCCCAGCGGAGAACCTTGGAAGGGGTGTGCACCAGCTTCGATGGATGGCAAGGCCTGTGCAAAACCCAGCTGAAAAGAAAGTTGCTGTGATAGTAAAAGCTGTTCAGCTCGTAGAAGTAGGACCTCTTCCGTTGGATCTCGCAACCCTGCGGGGCCTGCGAAGGCGCCAGCCCCAAGCCCTCTGGGCTCTAACAGGCCAGCGTTGCTTCGAGTTTGAGACTTCAACTTACTTCCCTTGTTCCTGGAGAGCCCCATCTGCTTGTCAACAGCTTCAGGGTTCAGCTTAGGCACCGCAAGCGTGAGCACTTGGAAGAGCAAAGCGCATGCCTGCTCAGCCGTGTATTGTCCTACAAACTCCTGCAAGGCAGGCAATTGACCAGCAAGCAGGTGTTCTCGCAATGCGTCCAAGGGCTGCATCCGACGCAGGACATGGGCACCAATGGAAGAGATCACCATAAAACGTGGCGCCGCCAACAGCTGCTCTTTGGCCAACTCACTCAAATGGGCCACTGGCAGAATCAAGCCTTGGCTCGGATTCGAGAAGAGCCGCTCAATGGGCTTCGAAATCGGAGCTGGCAGGGAAGCAATTCCAAAGATTTGTGGAATCTCCGTCTCCTGTGTCAAGCTAATGGTGTCCACATGCTCGGCCGTTCCCGCCACATTGACCCATGGCGAATGGCCGCGGCCTTGCCTCTGGGCTACAACTCTTAAGTCTGTACTCAGTGCAACCACTGCGTCACGAGTGGATCCCTCCGTCCCAAAGCTGCAATGTAAAAGTGTCACTCCATTTTCCCACAAAGCATCCTTCACATGAAGATCCTTTGGCGCATTGGCATCCAAAAACCGCACATGGTGCACTGCCATGGAGGTGATGTTGGCGCGTACACTGCGACCTTGCTTATTGCCGTCAGCACCCTGGGGGACAGGACGGGAATTGCCTCGAAGGAAGATACGAGTGCCATCTTCTGCAACAACACATGCTATGACACTTCCCCCAAGAGGTCTTCCAACCGTGAGCACTTTGATCAGTTTTGGTGGCGCTGCAGAAACCAAGCCACTGCCAAAGGGATTCAAGCCGCGTGACCCCACTGGAAGCAAGCCAGGAAAGAGCCTAGCTTTGATGCGCCCCACCTCATTGGCGATGGAGGATTGGGAGATGGAACATAATTGGACCACTGGCTTCTCCTCCAAGCGGCCATAGGCATCCTGCTGACTTGGTGGCACTTGAAAGAGGGTGATGTTCGATGATGAAAGTGCAAAGAGCAAACCCCTCGAGGCATCCACAACAAGCTGCAAGACCGCCTCGGCTGGCCCAAAGATGGCCACACAGGCGCGCTGCAGAACAGCAGGCAGCTGCGACTGCAGGTTCCAGCTTACTGCGCTCTTGCGACACTTCTTGGGTCTTCCCAGCCATCGGGTGTCTTCATCATACTGCAACTCATGAATGCACCCATCCCGACCACCCAGAAAGATTCGCCCACTGGATGGATCACAAGCCACAGCGCTCATTGAGATATCATCGCTTGCTACTGCGAATTGTGTGCGCACAGGAGGCAGCAAGCGGTTGCTACCTGGAGCGAATCGGAGAGCATGAAGAGATATCTCCAACGTTGTCGCCAGCACCAAAAAATAGTCAACACCCTGGACAAAGTCTTTCGGGCGGGCAGTGGCTGCTGCAACGACAGCTTCAGAGACCTTGGCAAAAAAGGAAACACAGGGCTCAGTTTCAGATGCAATGTGTCAAAAAGCAAAGTATCTCACGAAGTAATTGTTTGTCACTCTGGGCACAACAAAAACTCCTCCGTGCGCTTTTTCTATGTCTATTTCTCTTGCTCAGTGCCTTGCTCCAGTGTACTCCGTGACCTCCTGCACTGCAGGGTCGTCATACTTCCAAAGCACGATCTTAGAGTCAAAGGAGCGCCAAAGGCGTTGGATCTCTGGCAGAAGCCCCTGCTGGGTGAAGCCCGTCGATGGCAAGCTCGAGGTTCCTCGAGACGGGCCACCCGTCCGGGTATCTATGTCTCTCTTTGGGATTTGGGGAACCATATGGGCAAGTTTGGAAAACCACATGGATCGGTTTGGAACGGTCATTGGCTGCGACTTGCACTCAATGGGATCTTTCGCTCCGAAACATGCGGGAATAGGAGGGAACCAGCTTCCCCGCCTGCAGCGTCCAAGGCGAATTGCGGAAGACTGAAGTCATAGTCTGCACTTCCGCCGCCAGCAACGCTGGTCTCCTCTAAGCTGAGAAACTGATCATCTTGTGCTAAAGCTTCCCCCAGCAGTCTGCACGGTAGAACAAGCCCTTGTAGGGACTCATCCCGTCGATGAATCACGTCTGGAAGCGGGTCCATCACCCCCGACCTTGATCTCCCAGAAGCTGCAGTTCAAGACACAACAACTGCATTCCTTGAAGTTGGCCAGCGAATTTTGCCATCAACCTCTGGGCCAAAAGGCGCGCATTTTCGGATGCCACCAGGGCGTTCCCATGACCGACCGCGTGAGACTTGCTCCCTCGCTTCAAGCGATGCGATCTTCGTCGATCTTCCAAAGCACAAGCTGTCTTTGGCCTGTGCCTGTCAGGAAAACATTTGAGAGGATGCTGCCTCACTGGGCGCGCTGCAGCCTCACAGGAGGCCGCCACGATAGCGCCAAAACAACGCGTTTCGCAGACCTTCGATCAGTGCGCCAGAATACCCTGAAGCATGCCTCTGTCAGTGGCGCGGTCATGATTTAAGGATCACACATCATGCACACGTGTGGCGGTGTCTTGTTGTGTATCCGTGTATCTGGTTGCACTGCTTCATGGTGATGCAGTAAGCCAATGGTTAATTTCGATGCCAAGGGATGCATGGGGATGCCAGGTGCACATCACCAACTTTGGAAGAAGAATACCTTGAAAGGAAAATCCCACAAATCAGCTGCCCTATTGGCACTCCTTGATGCTTTGCAATATGCATACCCTGGTCCCGGTAACATTTGCAGCTGGAGAAGAGAAGGGAAGCTGGTGTAGTTATATAAATGAGCTGGACACCCACAACAACCAATTCAAGCGGGATGGTACCATTCTCCAACCACAACCCCCAAATCTTGACAGCAAAGCCGAAGCAAAGCTCCTCAGATCCCCAAACCAAAGAAACCAAGATGTGCAAATGAGGCGCTCCATATCCTGAACCAAAGAAGAATCTAAGAACACCGCCCAAATCAGGCCCCCAAAGGTCTTTGGAATTTGCAGGGGCCGCCCACAAACACAAACCTCAAAACGCCCTGGGCGCCCCCGCCTCGAGACATTCTTCACGGCGCGCACTGCTCCGATGATCGAAACCAAGTCCTGAGGGTGCAGACGGGGGGCATCTCCTTTATGCCCACGAAAGCATGGAGTTGAGTGGACGAAGAAAAAGGTCTGAAAACGACGAAAACGTGAGGTTGGCTTAAAGGACCGTGCGATTCCTCTCACATGTTCTCAGACATCAATCTTAGACATCAAGATTCTTGATTCCTTTGTTCCATATCTTTCTGTCTGGCTCTGCCTGTCCGACTTCTACAAGGAACCCGTGTCTCCCGCTTCTCGCGGCACACCTGTGACCAAGACCTTTCCTGCCGCTCTTGAGTTCTCACCGGACCTGTCCAGGCGGATAAATACCCCAAAGAGTCGGCCAAGTTTTTGGAGGTAGCTCATGCTTGGAGGTAGCTCATCGACCCCTGTGAAGAACGGACCAACTTGAGAATGGCGAGGTAGGACCAGGTAGGATGCGAGCAACTACTCAAACTTCCAACTTCTTGGATCAAACATGGCTGGCTGTACGCACTCGCAAGTCTAGCTTGCCGCTCTCTTTCATGGCCTCTCGACAGGATGCTTTTTCCACTGTCTCTCCAGCTGTGCTGTGTCCCACCATTTCAACCTCTCATCTCATCTCCTGGCCTCCACCATGGCCTCCACATCTCCGCGGATGCCGTTCACTTGCGTCAGAGTGATCCTGTCATGTCGTGGGGCCTTCCTTCCACCCAAATCACTGCAACATCCGCACACTCCACTCCAAATCCCACGGGATTGGGACGAAAAACAAGCCTAAGTCCTAAGAGGAAGACTCCACCATTCACACCAAGAGGAACAAGAGGAGGAAGAAAAAGGCCACCGCACCGATTCACCGATTCAGCAGGATGAGAGCGAGACACCGATGCTACGATCCATTTGGGAGATCGGAGCTGTGACCAGAAACACCACCTGCCGTTACTGACCACCATGGTGAGTAGAAAAAGGACCCTGCAACGAAGGTGTACCGTGGGCAGTGGGGCAGTGGATTTGCGGATCAAACATGGGTTTCCTCATGTTTTCCCTGCGAAGTAAGTGCTAGATACTTCATGATACTTCCCGTCCTGGGCAAAATCAGCTTCGCTGAGCCTCTCGCCAACTCTTTCGAGTTGTACTGGGCAACTGCCCCCTGTGCAGAAGACTGCGCGTGAGAGAAAAAACCGGAGGATTCTGCTTCAAAACCCGACCTTCCGCGAGCCGCGATGAACACATCCGCACCGCGTAGAACGCCGAAAAGGCTCGACTTCTGCCAGCCTCCGGATCGACTTGCACCACCAACAGCTCACCTGCCGGTGTTGTCGATCAAATGGGACAGGAAGCAATCGAACATATCGGCCGATTCTGCTGATCAAGGTTCGGACGATTCTGCGCGTCGGGACAGACAGTCAGCCCAAGGCCCTTGGAGCCTGGATCGAGCGAAGACCATCCGTAGCAGTCTCGGACAACATCACATGTGTAGAGATCTGACAGCTGACCTCTGCCCCAGGTGTCACTTCGGTGGCCAGGCCTTTGGCCAGTTCCACGCGGAATTCGTTCTCCACGCGAGGTCGTCCAGCAGTCTTGCCTCAAACATTCGCTCATGTCACATCGCATGAGACGTTTTGATCGTTTGGTGCCTAGCGGTTGTGACCTCTGCTCCCCTCACCCGCGAAAACTCGCAAGTTGCAAGGATTCGGTGGTGGAAGTCCGCAGTGATCTTGGAACTCTTCAGACTCAGAAAGACGAGGAAAGACATGGCTGTGGGGAACGAGGTACCAGGATACTTGGTTGACCTACCTGGAGAGTCATTCGCTACATGGTGGACTGGTCGGGAGAACATGGTTAGAACACGACCTTATATAAACATGGAAAGACTTGCGGCTTGCTGAGCCCGGCTCAGCTGCGCCTGTGGGGGTGCCTGTCCTCAGCACATTGCCAAGCAAGCAGAATGGAGGGGTGGAAGTCCACCTTCGGCCAGCTCCAGCCTCTGGCGGCTGGAAAATCAGCAACCTTCCCCCTCAAAAAGAGGTGAGGTAGCACAGGGGGGTCTCAAAACCGAGTCATTCTGGACTAGATAGAATAGAATCTAGGAAAATCCATAAGAAGAAGAGGAAAGCTGGTCATGGTTTGTGGATTCGTTCATATTCTATCATATTCTATCTACTTCAGGGTGCTTTCTTTAAAAAACACAGGGGAGCATCCCTCATACATGTTCCAAAACCTGTGGAAAAGAAAGGCTGCTTGCCTCACCCACAGCTGTAGAAGTGGATACGATACTAAAAATGGATAAACATGGGCCTCCGTGGCTCCTGAACTTGTGAAACTTTCTGATCCTCTGTCTAAGTGGGCCTCATCGAGTCCTAGATTCTTCACACTCCTGGCTGCTTCTCTTGGTGCTTCAACTTCAGGTTCCAAAACCGCAGGCTCAACCCTCTGCCGAACTTGCTCGATGCAACCTTTATCTTCAATCGACGGTTTGACAAATGAGGATTGCTCTGATCTACTCTCATCTGCTTCTGCTTTCTGGGTGTGTCTTGCTATCTCTTTCCCCTCTGTGCTTGCAAGGAAGGCTTCGGGACTTGGCTGCGCTTGCTCCACAGCAAGAGAAACTTGTGTGGACAGTTCACCCGGTAAGCTTTGCTTCAACCTGCCTTCCTTCATTTCGTCTGCCTGTTCTGCATGCGTTGTCTTCTCTGTCTTTTCAATCTTCGCGTTTTCCTCCACTGTGGTGGTTGCATCTGTGGCTTCCACACTTGCCTGAGCTGATCCAGTCCCAACTCTGTCTTCCATTGATGGTTGATGTTGCAAGGTTGGCTTTGAACTCATCTCATCTGCTTCTTCTGCTTGTTTCGCATGTGCTGCTGCCTCTGTCTTGGCCATCACCGTGCTGTCTGCCTCAACGGTGATTGCAACAGGAGCCATCGCACTTGACTGAACTTGCTCTGCACCAACTTCATCTTCCATAGATGGCTCAACAG